ATCCATGCAGAAACTATGGCATTCTCGACAGTTTTAACCGTAGTGTCGCAAATAAAGATCAAAAGAACTTGCGATGCGACCAGAGACACCTGAGTCCTTTGCCTGCCTGGTATCGCTTCACTGGTGCCGCTGGAGACAGAATGCCAACATCCTGTGTACCAAAAAATCGTTGTGGTACTCATGCTCCGGGTTGGCTAGACGGTTCCCATCCATCAGTGCAGGAAGGCATTGTCACTCGTCGAATTTGTTATCACTGGAGCTCAAAATGTTGCAACTGGAAAAACGATATTCAGATTCAAAACTGTGGCGCTTTCTATGTTTATCGGTTAGTTAAGCCTCCGGTCTGTTGGCTGCGTTACTGCGGTAATAATGCGGGTGAGTTTTTTGTTTTTGTATTCTAGCTCTAACTGGATTTTGAAGAGATGTTCTTCGATAGCCAAACCCACTTAATTCGGACAACAAATTGAAGGAAAGGAGTGACTTGTTCGCATCGCAGAGGTCTCCGTATTATAAAAAAATTGCGAGGTTTGGTTTTTGGTGGAACAACATAACTGCCCTTGATAGTGATGTGTCGTTATTATGGGGATGCCTGAAAGAAAAGCTTTGACGGCCGGTATTGGGGATTCCTACGCATATATAACGCTGTTTGATTAATTTGCTTGATCAATGGTTTAACCGTGTTAACTTGAGAAGCAAGGGATTCTAACGTAATAATTTGATAGACGATGACCTTTGACGGAAAAATACATATTAAAAAACTACATTCGGTCGCTACCTGCATTCTACTTGTTCATTGATTTGTCTTAAACGCCCTTCAGCAAATTCAAATGGTTGATTGCCAAACATGTCACAATAATAATTTATCGTCACTTTTCCGCGTTTAGATGGAAACTTACTACTATTAAGGAACAAACCCCTCTAAAACTTACTTAATGTTATATCCATAAATTTTCCGAGTTTGGTCTTTAGGCGATTCTTTGTTTACGACTTTCCCTCGTTAACATATGCCTTTCATTCTCTGATCAAGCCATACTAAAAATAAACTCTCTGAATATCGGAAAAGCATTTCATTTATCTGTGACAATTTGAGCCCGATAAACCGAATAGTTTGGGAGAAACAACCTTAGAAGAATACTCGAAGCTTAGCAAACAATGAATGGGCATTCATTCTTTGCTTGCAACGAGCTGAAAATTACACAAACTGTTCAAATTAACTATAGCCAAGGAAACTAAGAGAGAGTGTTAATTACAGTCGTAAGGACATGCTGGAATGTCGCCGTGGAATTAATTGTCCGTTTTCAACTTTCATATTTGACTTTTATTCGATAGCCCACTATATCACGACTTCTCTATTTTCTAAATGTGTCCAAAAGTTCCTCATAATTTTTATTATGATTTTTTTTTTGTCGCCAGTTATAAAATGTCCAGCGCTAAATGTTAGTCGCCTCGTCCAAACATCACCGAAGAGCTGCGTGACGTCACCAATGGATATCAACGCAATATGCTCGTTTTCATGCCCACAGGGATACAAGCTGGAAGGCCCGTCTTCTACACAATGCGGATTACGTGGCGTGTGGACCGAAGATGACACGGTTATATGTATCGGTGAGTTATGGGATCAGGGTACGGTGGCCTTGTTTGTTTGTTTAACATACTTGGAGCTTTGTTGATTAATTTCAAGATAATTTCACAGCAATAGGATAACTAAAACGTCCACAAAACTGTTAGTTATAAGCGGCATCACTCCTTTATCATTTGATCGGCTTAAATTTACATCACACTGAAAATAATGAATGAAGAGCCACTGTAGATTGTAGACATGGTAATTTGAATTTTTATGATGAATTATGAGGATTATATATACTGGTCAAAAAAGCTGCTAAAACATTCCATGACAGCACATAATCCCCTCCAGTATCCCATGCGAGGAATACGTTTTTCGTAAATTTAAATTTATTTCGTTCAGTTTTAGTCAGGAGTTCAGCAAGTTTTTCTTCGAATAGCCGTGAACGCCATTTTTGTTAGTCCAGTTTTGCCAAGCAGCCTCCTCTCTATGTCAATATACCATCGATCAACCTCGTTTCAAAGCACACGCATAGAGAAATGATACTGATAGTAATCGTGATCGTCATCATGATGTTCATGGTGATTTTGAACGTGGTAGTGATAGTGATAATGATAATGTTCATTTGTAGTAAGTCAATTTCTTTGTTCAGACTTCCAAAATATAATCTAATGGAATTGAATAATTCAATTTTCCAGACATTAACGAGTGTGAGGTGCTAAACGGAGGTTGCAGTCATAAGTGTGTAAACACAGAGGGAGATTTCAAATGTGAATGTCCTGACCCCGAACTGAGCTTATCATCGGACAGAAAGACCTGTTATGGTAATTATGACTCTAGGTGTGACGTTTCATGCATTAAATCCTACTCTGAAATGTGTATCATTGGGCATCTTATTTAAATGAAAATGAAATGGATCATGTCTCTAACAATATGTTGTACTTACTTTTGAATTTCAGTTTTGAAATTTTTAACCTGTTTTTACATTTTGCCTTAACCCTTTATGAAAAATAAATCAGTTGCCTGGAGAAAGTTAGGACTTTGACTATTCTTGTAAAAAAAAAAAAATATGAAGGAGCTTGGTCATATACTTCAGGTATTCAGAACTTTGCTACTGAAAGGGCCACAAAACGGTCTAAAATATTTCAAACCATCAAACTGTAGAAAAGAAGCTAGGATTTTCATAAAAACGATCGCCTGCTGATGAACTAAAAAAACGTCCACGAAACAAGCTAGAATATCAGCCGTCTTTATTTACGCAAATTTGTCGCAAGAGGACGTTTCGGTCAACAAGTGGACGCTATAATGGTTTTATTGAAATGAATAAATTGCCATGAAATGCAATGACCTTGAGCCCTCCATTTTTTTATTTTCCTTTCTGTCGAAAATAACTTTTCTCTTTATCTCCACTCAAGCCCCAGGCGTTATGGTACAGTGTAAGAGTGAAAATATGACCATCACAATACCGAAGTCCCTCCTTCTTGGTATGGACCGTGAGCATCTTCGACTCCTGGACACCAGTTGCAAAGCTACAGAGACGAGCACTCACTTCTCACTCACAACACCGCTGACTGGCTGTAACACAACAAGCAGGCACACGCCCACAGCTATCGTCTATTCCAACGCAGTTTTGGAAATTCCTGTGGCCGCTCAAGGTGTCGTGACCCGAGTTCGTGAAATCGAAATAAAATTCCAGTGTTTCTACTCTAAATACGGCGTGGTGTCCTCATTTGGTTGGAAGCCGAGTGATAAGAAGCTTGTTTTTAGCGACAAAATGAAAGGAAACTTTACGCTCTCTCTAGATATGTTTCCTGACAAGACATTCGAGAGTCCGTACTTGAGAAACGACTTTCCTGTGGCTGTGGTTCTGCGCAAGCTTCTCTTTTTTGAGGTGTCCGTCACAACGCATGACAAGCAGCTGTCAATCAGAGCAGAGCGCTGTTATGCTACTCCCACCCAAGATCGCGATAATTCCTTGAAGTACGAGTTCATCAAAGAAGAGTTAGTGATTGTTGTGTTACTTCCTAGCGAAAAGAGACCTCGAAAAACGGCACTGATTAACGTCTCCTTAAACTGCGAATTTCACCCCTTCATTCACCATCACTTAATACTAAACAACTGCATTGTGAAAGTACAATGTAGAAATTTAATTTTGAAGCGCAGAAGCACATATTAGGGTAAAACATCGTCAATCATTTGTTACATAATCACTGATCTTAAAAAGACGATAAGATCACAGCTTTTCAAGACGACAAAAGATTCCTCTGTGACTCAAGGCTGGTGACTATGCCTTTTTTTGCTTCTGTATTTTTCGTTTTTGCAACAGCTGGATGCCAAAATCGAGAATATAAAAGCATTTTTTTTTCTTCACACAACGTTGAGATATATGAGATTTCGAGAACATCTCAAATCTGGCAGACATTTTTTCTACATTCTCGGCAATCAATAGGTGGTTTTCATGCAATCTCGGGATACACAAATAACAATAGTGAAATGAACAAATGCTGGTGGACAAACAAAGCGAGCTAATGAGCGGTCTTTTGTTTACCGTCCACCAGCATGGCGGCGATGACGTAACGTGAAAACCACCTAGCCTTTTACTGGACGTGAGGCTGAGGTTGACCTAGTTTCGATACAAACCTCTTTCCTTTTCTTATGGAAATTTGGCTTAAAAAATACTAGTTAGCATGATTTACATGATAAAGCGGAAGGGTTGTATCAAAACAAGGTCGACTCCAGCCTCGTTTGCATCCGTAACTGTAAAATGGACTATTCGGTTCTGATACAATGTAAAACCCCAAATTATGACCAGTACTTTGCACTGCAAACAATTGTGTGAAGAAATTCAAAAAAAAATCTAGATTAAAAGGCCACTTCCGTTATATTTATCTAAAATTCCGAGACCTAAGGTAATATTAAAAACGAAACCAATCACCTTGAGGTCAAGGGATGAATAATACCAGGCGCGGATCCACACCGGTTTCCGCCGTTTTACGAAAATCGGTCAGAGTTTTCATGGATAAATAATTTTTCATTAAGAAAAAAAAAATCCAAGTTAAAATCTGGCCAATATCCTGAATGAATGATTCAGAAATCCAGGAGAGGTGACTTTAGGGAGTAAATCTCCAAAACATTCTAGAAGCGTACGCCTGCCGCGCTTGTTTAGAGTAACGTTCAGTATTTATCGTATATCCGCGCCTTAATCCATTATTTATAGCTATTCCCACAAGCCTTGGAGTTGAGTATGTATTACGACATATCGAAATCGGTGTATTCACTTAAAACAATTATTTTAGATGTTGAGTAATTAGTAGATTTAGTAACTAGTAATTAGCTTATAAGTTGAATATTATAGAAATTATAGATTGACATTTTCGGAGTCTTTCCTTATAGATGCCCGATTGACCCAACTGTACAGTATTATCCTCTGCCTTCAGTTAGTGTTCAGCGGTTTAGTTTGGAAGCCTTCAAGTTCATTGCAGATCATCCCTTTGTTTTTGTCCATTGTCACGTGATTGTCTGCAATGCTACAGATGCCGTTTCAAAATGCGCTAGAAGTTGTCCAGCAGCTGGCCGGCTAAGACGTGATGTGAATCCCAAAGCAAATGACGTCTACTCCCTGGCCAAGGGTCCAATCCATCTGCAACGTATAAGGAGCGAGGAAAGACAGAGCACTGGCCTCGAAAGGCTTGGTATGTTATTACGCCGGCTCTCCCGTATATATTAATATATTTCTTTTAACTCTTTTTATTCTGCCGTGGGCCTTTAAGAAATGGAATGCAGCGTTCTTTGGTTGGTTTATGAAAGGGTACCATTTTTTAATGAAAGTTGTATTTCCTGTTAAAATGGTAGACAAAAGAGGAAGGGGTTGAACCTTAGACCTCCCCAGATGAAAACTTTGAGTGCCTCCCCACTCAGTCTCTTCCCCCTATCCCAATAGTCCATCCTGTATTTCCATGAGCACTGAAGTCACCAGTCTAGGCTTGGGGGGGGGGATAAAATATTAATAGTGATTGGAAGGAAATTGTCCTTCCATGCAACCCTCGTTATTATTCATTGTGTCCTCAATGAAGCAGGGAGTAGGGAAAGTCTATTTTGGTCATAATCGACATTTATACTGATCAGCAGAACAAGTACACAAAGATTAAGTAACAAAAACAAGCAATTAAAAACATTTGAATCACCCAGAAGTGGTACGAAAAAGCGAGGAATTGCATTGGATTAAAATCTCTGGACATCAAATGAAACACAGTCAACTCGCACTTGAAATAGTTTCAGTTTCTCGATCTGGCCCCAAATTTCTAAAAAGGTGGATAGCGCTATGCTCCGGACAATCCCTTTGCAGTGGATAACGCAATTGGTTGCCCTAGTAATACCTACCCATTGGATAGAGATTTATCAGATAGATAGCACTATCCACCTTTTCAACAACTGGAGTGCGATATTAAGTTAGAGAAAATTCAAAACAACAGTAAAATGTAAAACGTTTATTTGCCTAGCCAGTTTTTATTTCAGACTTGCCCGGCCTCAACGTGTCTAAAACGAAATATCATTTTTTTTAGGTTCCAGTCCTACAATCACGATTACCCTGTTTGTGATCTGTGTCGCCTGTTTAGCGGGAACTGCGCTGATGGCTTTCAAAAAGTTACGTGACAAACCTTTTGGTTATGCAGTGGTTGCGGCAGGGGAGAAGAATTAAAAAGCAAGTCTTGCTGCTATCAAAACCCAAAATTTGCTGAATTAATTTAAAATAATATAAAGTGATTCTTATCAATAAAATCAAAGCATTATCTTTGGGTGAATTTTAGTTTTGGATGGTTTTAGTCCATAAAGAAAAATTTAAAGAAAATCAAAAATGGAAATTAAAAATGTTTTGCGCTGTATTGTTCATTGTTTATTATGAAATAAATTAAACTTTAACTTTATTATTGCCTATTTCACTTTCTTTCTTTTCACTATGGGGAAAAAAACCCTTATTATTCTATGACCTATATGTATTCGTAAATGCATGGTATACCACGACAGTAGCGTGTGAACAGTCCGGTGACAGTTAGCGAGAGACAGCATATTGTTTACTAAATATTCATTTTAATTATTACCTGCGTATGATCGCTTATTTGCCACGAAATCGAATCGGCGTAAGCCGTGTCGATTAAACGGACGCTAATGCCTCCTAAATATAATTGTTAAATTACCCAACCGACGGAAGTTGTTGATTCATCTGTTGCGTTCAGGGTTTCAAGGTGGTGGAACTAAGAACGTAGACTACTCTGTACCAGTTTCTCTTGGCCTTTTCTCTCGTCATGCATCATCGTTTCATAGCGGCGTTTGTTTATAAGGTTTGAATATGGTCACATACAGTTACTATAGGCGAATCGTTGCTGACGTTTTTTACTACATTTTTCCTCATTATCGTGCGACTAATCTAATAGAAACCGTGGCCGTATAACGGAACTAAATTCAAAAGATGAAAGAGTTGCATGATTATGTTGACATGAGTAATTTGTGCAATTTTCAATTTTCAGCTCTTTGCAAGCAGTATATGCAAGCAGTATTAAAGGAAGTATCAGCCATCATAATCTGCGAAATTGCTGGGTGGCAAAAAAATTATTGAGCCACATATTCTTTGAAATAATTTGTATAAGTAATAGCATGATTTGTAGTGATATTTGGCATAAATACCACGCGTGATATTTCAAAATTGTTATACGTAATTTCACGAGCCATCAGGCGAGTGAAATTTGAGACAATTTTGAAATATCACGAGTGGTGTTTATGCCAAATATCACGTACAAATCATGTTATTAATTGTTTATACTACTACCTGTAGAAGGTTTGTAATTTTCACATGTAGGTATTTCAAATTAAGGTGAAATACCACTGCTCTAAGCCAATCAAATTGCAGAAATTTCTCATGTAGTAGTATAATGACTGAAACCATCCGGTACAGCAGGCTCAGATTTTCAGAGATCACCAAACTTGTTATGCTCCTTCCATATTCAGAAGTTTTTTTAGTTTCATCAGATAATGATAAGCATACTGTTAATGAGGCACAGAATGTAAACAAAGATTCGCTTTGGGACGATTAATATTCATTCAAATGAACCCTGAATTGATTATTTAAACATCCGAGATGACTAAAATGTGTTTGAAGCTTTTTTGTCATTTCTTTAAATTATTCTACGGAAGTAAAGTAGATATTCCCTTTTATTTAATTTAATTTTTTGATACATAAATTCCTTTTAATATAATTAATATATGTTAATGTAATCAATCGAGCGATAGAGGACCAAATACTGATTACCCCGTCGGCAAATATTTAATTGAAACAGGAAAATTTTCGTTAAACTGATGATTCAGAAGTTATTTATCAGTTCAGCTGCGTCTTGACTACAAGGTGGTTTCAAATTAATTCTCAGGTTATTAAGACTGTTCTCCAAAGCGTAGGAAAATGATGCGATTTAAGAAGCTTTCCGTGAATCGTATGTACCTAGCTTGGGATCGTTCTCCTTATGGTTGTTGCAATGACAGTTGAAGGTAATTAATTTTTGATGTTATCCTTTGGTCTGGTTTGTTTCCCCCGAACAACACCTGTGTGTGAGAGGCCAATATACACAAATACCGTGAAAGTTACACTCTTGGTGGTTTTTTAGATCAGTGAGTAATGAAAGTGTAGAATATTACTGAGAAAATTCAATTGGCGAATAGAATCTCTAATGATATATTAAGTTATTCTTTCATTTTTTTAATCATACTAGTATCCTTTCCGAAGAACCTTTTTGAGTTTCAAACCCAGTTATTTTCATTTTAACCGCCTTCATTATAAGTGAGTTAAATTTCAAAAAAACAATAATAACAACACTATAATAAAGCATTTGAAAACTTGAACCATGAGGTGTAGTCAATACCTTTAAAAGATATTCGGCTTCCTACATGATCAACAGTAACAAATACTTGACAAACAATTTGGTATTTCTCATGATCTAGGCGATATACTCTCAAAGGTGCTGAGCAAAAAAAGTCCAAAAGGCTGTACTAACTTCTTCTCGTAAGAAAATCCAAACAACTATTCACATTCTGCCGAATGAATCTTACTAGTAAAGAAGGAAGCAAGCAGATCGGATAGAAAATTAGGTACACAGTATAGGAAAATAGCGTGTTTAATTTGCCCCAAAGAACGCGCGTACGGAAAGGGGAAGCACTCTAGCAAAAAGTACTAGCTATCGCTAATTCGCAAATGAAAAGAAACGTAGTCCTTCGGATATATCACCTATGAACTGGTCAGTAATGGTTTAATTGGTTTAACTGAAGATGGTCCAGTGGTTTTTGGGTGATTCTACAATAGGCCCTGTCATTTGAAGCCATTTCGGCCTAGATAAGACCATGTTCAGATTAAATTTTTCAACCATATTCTTGATTGAAGGCACCGAAAATCCCTATCCAGTATATCCAAGCTTTACAGAGAGCAAGAAACTCCAATACCTATGATCCATTTATCTCATTCATCTATACAACAAATTGATTTATAATTGGGTAAAAGTCCAAAAAAATCTTCATTATCACTAGTTATGTGAACTTCTAAGTTCTTGACGAAAGATCGGTCAACTTCTGCATCCTGACAAATAGAGAAAGAAACAAAAAGTCGCCTGACTATGGATGCATGAAATTGTCGAATTAATTAGAGACTCAATAGCGGAAATTAGAATGAGGATATAATTGCAGGGAAAACCTTTGATTTATTGATTGATTGACTTTTAGTATTATTATTGTTATTATCATCATTATTATAACTAGTGGTTGACTAAAATTTAAAAAGCGGTCATTAGCTGATTTATTTTATGAATAAATGAGTTCCAACTCGCATGTCACCACACGGTAACTGCTTTGGTTCCAGTTCACCGAGATTCTTGGCGCGCAAACTGATGCAAAGCAATACAAAACGATATTTTGATTAATTCTTCCCTACAGAGCTTTCCCGAATATTTTAGAATTTTACAAATTATTCAAAATTTCTCAAAAATATTCTAATATGCACGAAAAGAAAACCTTTAAGCTAAAAATCCAAAATTTTAATAAAAGTATAAATCAATAAAATCGAAAATTTAGAAAACACATTAAATCAAATAATAACAGTCACGTAATACATAAATGTTATTCACCGGCTGGGAGGTCCGTATAGGGAGAAACTGTGCCCGAGGTCTTGCGTACCGCCCGAGGCCGTAAACGGACCGACCTAGGCCGGTGAAAATCATTTTTATTTTTTTCCTACTGAGATTTAAAAGTTTCAGGAAAATTTTACTTCAGTCTCCAACCTATGTGCGTTGAAGAAGGGCGCGTGCGTGTTGATGTTATTCAAAGTGCGCGATCGATTGCAAACCAAAACAAAACATTACAACATTATTTTTAACTTGTAATTTATATTACCACAATTAAGCTCTCTTTAGAATAAAGAAAGGTTTTTGTGTCGTGGTAGACAATTCATAATCTGAGTGTCAAACAAGGATAAAGGAACTGACGAACTTAAAAGCCACAGGAAAGAAAATACAGCAAAGATTTTCTTCGGCTGAATATATTTACTTTAAGATTAATTCAATCGAGCGGGATAACAACTGCACAAAGGCTTTATAAAAAGAGCTAATTACACATACCAATCTTAGGGTTTAGAAGTGAATTATAATTAAAAAAAGGCGATGTGGGTAACTAAACAATTATATAAACAAAGAAATA